CGACCGATGTCTAAAGTTAAGAACAATCGGACATGGTTATTACTTGCATTGGAGACTTCTTGACAAAACTAGCTGGTATTTTTTTGTTTGTTTACAGTTCGTGCATTTTCTATTACTGTTATTTATACTCGCCCGGGTTGCTTGTTTATTTCCTGCATGCTGTCCACGCTTCGCACATTCCCGTACCCGTATTGATGCAGAGTTTCGCAAAGACCCTTATGGTGGAAGACATTTTTACAGGACTATAACGGCGTTTTGATCATTCACAACGAACCTTGGTCTCCGTCAGACACTGTTGTTTCCGTTACCAAGTTCTTCCGCTCGCCTTTCCCACAACACATTATCAACATGGGACTGTCTACCAACGCATTGGAACTGCTTGCAGTAGTGGTCGCACTCAAACTCTGCTCCCATGCTTGTTGCGGACTTCGCTTGCAAATAACCTCCGACATGACAACGGTTGCATTTATCAACTCTCATCATACCCATTCAGATTTTGAACTCAGCTGTTTGTGGGAGATCGCAAACTTCCAAGCACTTTTCGAATTCAATCTCTGAGTTGTACACAACCCTGGTCGGAGCAATGTCGCGACGCTCCAAGCCGTTCACATTTATCTGGCATTTACAAGAGTGTGGAAGAGTTACAATCAAACTTTGGCATCTCAGAAGTCGCTGTACCTCAGGAAACGTTCCAGTTCATTCATCCTTGGTAATTTGTATCATTTTTTTTTCACTTCTGCAGGTAGTCGAGCTCCGCTCGCCGCTCTGGACCACCAGGCGTCCCGCTCACTCCACTCCAATGGCGTTAATTCTTGCTTTTCTGCCGCTTCTTTTGCATTCAGCCAGTTCCGGCCACAATACGAACGATTATTTGCTACACACAGCTCTTCGCCCGCTCGTTTTCAAACACAACATCTATTCGCAACTACCTCAACGGCGTTCGTCTGCTGCATCTGTTCGTCACAGAGACCCCACCTTCACTTAACTCATTCAAACTGCGACTTGTTCTCCGAGGAATACAGCGGATAACCATCCACCAGCCTCGCCGCAAGTTGCCTATTACACCACAGGTTTGATCATTCGTATCACAAGGTCCAAAACCATACAGTTCGGTGAACGTGTACTGCATCCCCATCCTGGCTATCCCCGGATCCGCCCTCTGCCCAGTATCAGCCTACAAGCAGATGGTGGACATGTTGCCAGCACCTTCGGAAGCGCCTCTGTTTTTCGCATCATTTACCCAAACAGCGACTCCGGTCACAGCTTTCGCCGTGGAGGCGCCACTTTCGCATTTCAGTCATTTCAGACCCTGGAGCAATTAAAGCGCAGGGCGACTTGCGTTCACAAGCTTACCTGCTCTACATAGAATCCCCAATCGGTCGTCGCCTCAGGATGGCGCTGCTATCAAGTCCGTCCAAGTCGATCTGACACTTTAAACATTCGCTTTTGGCGGCTTTCATTTTTGGTCTTTTAGTGCTATATTTTGCTGTATGCCGGAAATGTAATTTTAAATTCAACAAAATAAAACTAATTTTTCATTTTCTTTTGCCGCCAATTCGCTTGCATCGGATTTGTTCTTCGCAATTGAATAATTTTAAATAATTCATGCAGCTGTGTGGTTAGGTGACTGACAAATGTTTAAAGTAAAGCACAATCGGGCGTGGTTAGAACTTGCATTGGAGACTCTCTGAGTAAACGGCCTGTTCAATTTATCTTTACTTTTTTTTTTCATCACACACATTTTCGTTAATGTGATTTCAATTATTGATAGTGGGAAACCGTGGCATTTTTGTAACTTTTTTAATTAATGGAACGTTTTCAAATTCCTTCTAATTTTCGAGAACAAGTTGTTGATGCTGCCGGCACGTAGTGGGCTTTAAGCTGTTAATTCACCATGCAAAATTGCAATGTTGTGAAAAGCAATTACAAAGTTGATAGTTTCATTCGGGATTGTTACCTGTGATATCATATTAACATATCCCAAAGTTAAAAGTTCGAAAATGTGAATAAATATTTCGCAAATTGATGATAAATTACCGTAGTGTTACCCCAAGTATGTTGAGGTCATAAGTCAATCCTAGAAGGTACTTGTGCAAGCGATATCGATTTTAAAACTTCCAAAAACATGATATAGCCGCCAATTCGCATTAATTTCAAGTAATTCATGCATCTGTGTTGTTAAGTGACGGACAAATGTTTAAAGTAAAGCACAGTCGGGCGTGGTTAGTACTTCCATGGGAGAGTCCCTGAGTAATCAAGCTAATGAAATTAGCTTTACTTTTTTTTTCATCACACACATGGAAATAATACAAGGCAACGTTCGTGCATTTTTCCTTACTGCGATGTCAATCATTTATAGTGGAAAATCGTTTCATTTTTGTAAAGTTTTTAATTAATGGCAAGTTTTCACATTCCTTCTAATTTTCGAGAACAAGTTGTTGGTACTGTTGGCATGTAGTGGGTTTTTAGCTGTTCACACACCGTGCAAAGTTGTTCAAAGTGAGTGCAAAGTTGTTGCAAAATTGGTAGATGTATTTGTATATATGACCTAAGTTGTTGGCATATAGAAACGCGCAGTTGTAAAGTCATCAAATTTAATAAAAACCAGTTGAAAGCAGCCAATATATGTAAAACTTACACTAATGAATTTTTGTAAGTTCAAGAAAAGTTTTCATGTCTCCCCTAATGATCAAATCACAAGTTGTTGATGCGGTCGGCACATGTTAATAATAAGCTGTGCAAAGTTGTGCAAAGCGATTGTAACGTTGGTAGATGTATATGTATATTTGACCCAAGTTGTTGGCATATCAAACCCTGCAGTTGTAAATTCGAAAATATCAAAAAATTGAAAGCAGCATATATTAGCAGAGCGTCACATGAGGTGACTGTACAGGCAAAATACTGAATACTAATTTGGGGGAGCTTTCAGACTCAAAAAGCAGACCACCCAAGCAAACATTTTGTATATGAAATATGTTTAATACTTAAGTATCTATAACAGATGTTGAAACTGTTGGAATATTCACATGACATTGTAAAGTAGAGAATCAAATACAACATTTTCATGCAGATGATTTTTAAGTACATTTTTTTTCTTTATATTCTATATACACGTTGTGGTCGTCTTTTGAAATATTTAACCCGCATTCTGATAACGCTTGATTGTGTTAAGAAATAAAGAGTGGCAAAATAAAAAAAACAATAATGTTATACTACTTGAATTACATCAGTTTGTACAGTTCTTTATGATGAATTGTAAGCATGAACAAGTAGAATACACAGGTGAGTTGAAGCATATATACATGGCAAAATTTGATACATACAAGCTGCTTTCCTATTGGCCTGACTGACAGGTATTAGGGTTGGGTAGCCAATCAGGTTCAATCTAGCTTGGCACTGACTCAGAAGTCTTTTGTATGTGAAAGCTACATCAGCTACATGCCCTCTTTGGAAAATCAACACTAACTGTGTTACCCATGATGCATCTCACTTATGTGCAAAGAAATGTTTTTGTCTGTAAGGAAGATGTACCCTGGAAGTCTCACAATGCATGGCGTTATTGATGAAAGTACAAAAGGTAAGAGATCCATTAAGTTAAAGCTTCAGTTTACTGTAAATTCAAAATTAAATTTGTTTTAAAGTAAGAGTGTGATTTTTCAATTAGCCATGCATTATGGGTAATACTTTGATTTCAAAATAATTATGTTCAACAAATCATTTATTGACGATATTGGTGGAAAAACTGCATGTATGATAAAATAACATGTGATTGTTGCATGGTGAAAGCATTATTCAAAAACAAAACACTTATAGTAACTGGTGGTGGAAAGTGTTGTTTACTTGCTTTTCACAATATTTCACACTGGATTTGTATTCAGCAATATTTTGTCTATAAATTCTGTTGTGAAGCCTCATGATACTGAAAACATACTGTCAATTGGAAGCTTATTCAGCCTCAATATCTCACAAATATATTTACTATATGTATAGGTCAAAGGTTAGTGCTGCAGTCCAAATTTGATAAAAATATAAGACATGTACAGGTGACCTCTTAGTTTTTTTGTAAATCCCTATCAACTGGACATTAGGTTGAAAGTTGTGATGTACTTTTAAAAAAAAAATTTTTTTTTTGGGAGGCATCCTTTCTGGGCATGTTTAAACAGCTTTAGAGTCACAGTTTCAGAATTCTAGTGTTCCTGATTGGTCTGTCCTAACAACATGTACATTACCTTCTACAAGTTGGTTGCAATATGACTGCAATGTGATACACATTACTAAAAGTCATAACTAATACTTGTCATAAAGAGCTTCAAACTAATGACCCAGCCTTAATTTAATTTAGCTTTGGCAATTTTACTAGCTTGGAAATATGCACCAGGCTTTTAGCAGGTCAGGTCAAAGGTCAATAAAGCCTTTCATTCACATGTGTACAGTTTTGATGATATTTTACAAATATTAGTTGTCAATCTGTTGTCACTTTGTAGCATAGAGAGTGATGTAAAAGTGCAGTAAAAACAACATTTTTTTTTCAAGATTTAAAAGGTAAATTGTTCAGCCTATTTTGTTGTGACAGCATAAAACAAAATACAATGCTGCTGGATTGAAGTATTTACACGTGATTCTCAGCATAATATTACAGCAAAAACTGTCCTCCAGAGGGCAGTGTTCATTGGTTATTCAGACACTGTCTGTAGTTTGTACATGAATACTAAAAATAACTGTAACCTACCCTTAGTATTGGTCATCACAGTCATTTTTTTTTTAAAATTAGGCAAATTTTAAAAGTATACTAGAGCAATAAATTCTGATACGTTGAAGAAAAAAGTAAATTTAGACAGCATTGTTGATCCTCAGCTCATTCAACTGTACCTACATAAACTCTAATTCTAAGTAAAATAAGACAGAAATTGAGAAAGATGGAAAGAAGAGAAAACACATCTATTTTACATCATGGCTTTCAAAACTGAACAATTTTTCTTGGTCATTCTTCCAGGGGTTGGTGACAAAGAAATAAATAGCCAACACCATATTTGGTCATCATAGAAATTGCTTCAGAGGGATGGACGACATATATCAGAAGAGCAACTGGGCAATTTTAACAATTGCTGACTTGTTTTTTGTCATTGATGAGCGACTGGTAGAATTCTGATCGTAAGAACCGTGGATATGAATCTTTCTCCATCAACGACTGAATGCGTTTCTGTGCCAGGTCAAAAGCATGCTTTGTAGGGTTACTGAGATTTGAGACAGTAGCAAGTCGACTATGAGAGTCTAGATTCACCTGTAAATCAATCAATAGATTTCTTAGGAACATGGATCAGTACTGTAAGCTATAAATAGATCAGGTTTAACAAATATGGTCTAATTAATTATACATCTTTTAACCTTTTCACCACCAGATATTCTCACCTGAATTTTTCTTTATTTTTTTTTTTTTTTTATATTCTTCAATATTTCTGGAAATAAACCTTAATTTTGAAGCCAACAGACAAAATTTGAGTAAATTTTCAGTTTTTATTCAAAAAATGTGGCTACTTTGTCCAAATCTTTTGAAAAAAAATATATAAAAATATATGCTATAAATAGGACTATTTTGTGAATTTCTGGTGAAAAAAAGGAATTGATGATGAAAAGGTTAAAAATAGATGTACCTGAATAATGTGTGTTGTATATTTTACAATTTTAATATGTTGTCGAATCAAAATATGAAGAAAAAATATGTAGGCAAATTTACCAAAAAAATGTAGCAGTGAAATCAGTAAAAAATAACATAAAACCAATAAAATTTTGTTTTCACATTGTGTCTCAATTTACACATATCAGATGGCTACATATACTGGGGCAAATCAGGAAATGAAAAAAAATTTATAACACCCGCTCAGAAATCCATGACAAGCAAGTCGTGCATGAACATACTCTAATAGAAACTAGAAATCCCACAAATGGAGAAATTCCCACCTAATAATGGCAGCGATTTAACATAGGGATTACTTTATTGATGCAATCATGGTTATATGCTGTAGACTTAAATCCTAAATTAACAATTTCATTTGAAATTACGTACTATGAATCCTAATCAAAGACAACGAGAAGATGTTCTCAGTACATTTAGAGAGAAATAAATTGCTTCACACATCAATACTGAGTAAGCGATAGATATTGATTTGTAAATGCCAAATTGACTTACCTCTCTAGGTGCTTGGATTGCAACATAATCATTGTAAATTCTCTGTGCTCTGGACGACCACTTTGAGGGTCTTACTTTCTTGTAATCCTCACAAGCCAACCAGAACTCTATATTTTCATCGCTGAACTCAGTTTTAAGAAATGCACGAAATGAAGCCAAGCCATCTAGGAAAAGAAACAAAACATTCCCATCAAATTAGTAATTATATCTCAATTGTAAATTTTGGAATAGTGAATGATATTGTGCTATTAAAAGAAATACTCAGAAATCCAGCAAGAGAGGTTGAGTTACTGTAATGTAACAATATAGTTTTTGACAAAACGACATCAAATATTGTATATTAGTAAAAGTTATCCATGAATTCCTAATTTATTTTTTGCATAAAAAAATGTTTTCTTAAAAACACATCCTTCTTGTCCTGTAAGGCTTTAAACATGAATGACATGCAATAAGGGTATCATCACAAGAAAATTTTGAATGATTTACTGAGATGATACAGTAGTGAAATTCACATTGTAATTCACATAAAGGTCATTGTTACTTCACAGATTAAATATGACAAGTCATTGAAAATGACACAGTCCCCGTCAAATTTTTGAAAGTTCTCTTTGTGCTCGTCATATTACAGTGGAGGGGTTGTTGCGAGCATGTTGTTGAAACTTGAGTCCCAAGTGACGTATACAACAGATTGTTTATTTTACATCAAATTTGAACATGTGTTGTGTGACGACTCGTCCGATTTAAGACATAGCAAAAAAAACATAGATCACAAGTGAAAGGATGTCCAAGTTATCACATTTTAAACAAACAAATTTGATCAAATTGCAAATTGAATTAACATGTACATGTATCCATTTATGACATGCTAAATATCAATGAAAATGATACATGGGTGACAGAGATACAACCATTATTCGTCCATCTTTGATCTGATTTTGAAACAAAGTGACATGTATGATGCATGTGCCAAATACAAATGAAAATGATACATAAATCTTGGAAATATAGCAGTAAGGCCAAAAAGTCAGATGGCTGTCAATCGGCCATCCTTGATCCGATTTTGAAACAAATTGTCATGGACATGTATCCTAACATGTATAAAGTATGTGCCAAATTTGAATGAAAACTGACAAAGCATGTCCAAAATACAACATTTTCAAAAAACAGGGACTAAAAAACAAAAGACACAACATGAGGCTTTCTTTTCAATCATATTTTTTTTCCTCCAAAATATTGGTGAACACAATGAAATGGGTTAAAATGGGCCTGAAAGGGTGACGATGATTGTGAAAAGTTTACAAAAGGAACAGTGTGGAACAAGGTAAATATATTGTTGGTGCTGACATTTTGAAACAAGATAAATATATTGTAGTTAGTGACAGTTTGGAACAAGATAAATATATTGCAGGTAGTGACGGTTTGGAACAAGGTAAATATATTGTAGGCAGTGACAGTTTGGAACAAGGTAAATATATTGCAGGTAGTGATGGTTTGGAACAAGGTAAATATATTGTAGGTAGTGACAGTTTGGAACAAGGTAGATATATTGTAGGTAGTGACAGTTTGGAACAAGGTAAATATATTGCAGGTAGTGACAGTTTGGAACAAGATAAATATATTGCAGGTAGTGACGGTTTGGAACAAGGTAAATATATTGTAGGCAGTGACGGTTTGGAACAAGGTAAATATATTGTAGGCAGTGACAGTTTGGAACAAGGTAAATATATTGTAGGTACTGGCAGTTTGGAACAAGGTAAATATATTGTAGGTAGTGACAGTTTGGAACAAGGTAAATATATTGTAGGTAGTGACAGTTTGGAACAAGGTAAATATATTGTAGGTAGTGACAGTTTGGAACAAGGTAAATATATTGTAGGTGGTGACAGTTTGGAACAAGGTAAATATATTGTAGGTAGTGACAGTTCGGAACAAGGTAAATATATTGTAGGTACTGGCAGTTTGGAACAAGGTAAATAATGTGAGGAAAGGTCAACAACAAATCATTAACTGATAGATTTTTGGTAGAGTTTAATTGATTGGCCTTTAATATTGTAGTAGCCAATCAAAGCCAGAGGGTCTTTGTGTTATCCAAATGCATTTGAAAATCAATGTGTTACAGAAAACTAGATGACAGTTCCTTGCAGGTGTATTCGTGACAATGAACTGAGTGAGTAAATCAATTCTAATGGGCAATTAACAGAAATGTAGTTAAACTTCTGTTACTTTGCTTTAGAAAAGAGTTTGATAAATTAAAAGAACTGCATTAGCTGTTGGCCAGGTATTGAGAAAAAACTCTCATTCATTTCTAAAATTCCAAACCTTGATGACGACCATCTCTAAGTTTACAGATCTGCATTATGAAAAACATGTGACTGATTAGAAATCTACATAAAGACATAAGACCAAGTGTGATAGAGAAATAAACACACAGTCAGAATAATGGGTCACATGACCAAGACATAAAACCAAGAACACATCTATTTGGACTATGTTCATTTTAGGAAGAGTTGTCAGCAGACTTCTACATTCTTACCTCAATTTACTATTAATACTAACAAGTTTAATTGGTATGATTGGTTGTCATAGTGAGAAGAGATGTACATTTTTGAATTGCATAATGACACATTCAAGAAAATATGTCAATTCGAACAAACTAATAATAATTCACAGATGCGTTGAAGCGGGTATAATTACATTTATCTGCCAGCAGACTGTCAAATGATTCGCTCCATTTAATGGCTTGTGCATAAGAAGGTCGTAGTGTTTTGAGTTTCTCTGCATCTTTAATACACCCGTCAGTGTGGCGCCTCCTTAGAAACCGTAGTTTCTCTTTCATATCTTTTGCTCTGTAATGAGAAAGGAAATATTTCATTTCATACTGGATAAGAAGACACTGTGTATCTTGTTATCTCACCAGGCACTACTTTATTTGGAAATTATAGATTGAAAACTTACAAATTTTTTTTTCTCTTGCGTTTATCATTGTCTGTATTAAATGAAGGGAGCTGCAATGCATCATCTGTTGGTGAATCAGATCCTGAACCAGGGTCTTCAAGTTCTTCTTCAATTGCCTCATCTTCTGATCCAACCGACCGTGACCGCATGCGAGTTATTGTCTATAAAACAAGAATTAAATGTTGTAATCAGTCACGGCCTACAAGCACGCATCATTCAGACACAACTGTACAGTAATCAATGACATATGTTTTTCAGTGCTTTTGATCAAATCAGTACCCAGTCTTGAAATGACAATGATTATAGTTGCTGAAGGCAAAATCATTTCTTATTACTTAGTTTACTGCCAATCAGATTGACTACAATTTATTTTTATGTAAAAAGTGCGGATCACAAACAATTTGAAGAAAATGCGTAATGTTGAAAACCAAATATAGGCGGTTATTACTATATACATTTTGAATTACTTTCTAGGCTAATGGTTTCCAAGGAGAAAGAAAATATGTACTTTTTTGTGCAAAAATATTCAATATCAATATTAATATAAAATTGACGAAATATTGCATGATGTATATACCAATTAAGTATAAACAAAATCCATCCATGCACAGCTGATATGTGGTCTGGAATAATATAAATTTTAATGCCAATTTTAGCACTGTAGGTCAGCTATCTTGAATAATATCATAAGTGAATGAAATGTGCATATGCTAGATGCAATCAGATATAGAGACAGACGCACAGAGACTAAAAACCTGTGATGCTCACATTTTTATCTGTTGTCCATATGATGACCAGAAACACAAATGAATATGAGTTACTTTGCATGAAATAATTTCAGTGAGATCTTATATGGACAGGACAAATGTGACCTGTAATTATATATCAGCTGATAACAATTGTACTTTTTGATTTTCAATATTATTATACATCTGTCACTGTAATGCCATAAGTTGCAGCATGCTGTAATTTTGCAGTATTGCACTGGGTATTTTCATCCTACTATATTAGGAAATGCAAAATCCAAATATGGAACAATTACGCATGTTAGTGTTCTCTAATTGTAAAAACAAACATCGCTGCCCCAGGGTTTGATCAGATCCCACACAAAGAGGTTCTTTAAATCTGTTCTAAACGTTCTGGATTTCTGCATTCCCATGATGCATTCCTGGATGGAAAAGATGTACATGTATAATAAGGTTATTACAAGGATACTACAAAGTATACATGAAGACAGTACAGCGGGAGTATCATTATGTGCAGTGGAATAACCTCTTATTAATGATACTCATACTAAATTTGAGAATTATTGATTACATAACAAACAAAAAAAATTAAATTTGATATGGGGTATTATACTCATCACCATTTCAAGCAACCAGGATATTCAATGTGACAATTAATCAACTCAAATATCTTCTCCAATAGCGGCATGATAGTATAAAGATGTTAACATGCACATGTAAAGACACTGCGGATAATGAACTTCACAATAATTTAATTTGCATATAGGAGTTAGTTCACGGAATTAATAACGAGATTTCCAAAATGACATTGATCAATTTGAATGGGCAGGATTGCAATGCTGGAGGGGAAAATGAACTTTGTATCTCCCAGTGTGGTTATTATATCCTGACACTGTAGATATAAATGTAATCATATTATTTTGGAAATTCACTCACGTACACACGTTAGATTCGTGTACATATTTAGTTTTAAATTTATCACGTACATTGTAAATGTGAGAAGACAAGAAAATGTCAAAATGGATGAAAACAGACAAGTAATAATGTCTAAATTAATAGATACATTAGAGAGGCAGACATTGAGTAGGGTACATTATAAATACCAATACAATGTCAACAACTTTAACGTTGTAACAATGTGAAAATCACAATTATACGGCTAGTTTATTATTTAAGATTAAACAAGTCGTGACATAACACAGTCACATTATTGCATATTTATTCATTTATTATTAAAAAATAGACAAACCCTTCTATTCAAATGTGTACAATAGCCGTACTTTTAAAGTTGATGCATTGTTGTTTAGTACGAGATCTAATATACCGGGTAGACTGAAATACAGATAACGTCATTTTCCCTCCAAACCTGTTCTATTTATAAATGTTATCAATTGCTATCACCAAATCAGTTGAATTATTACATCATATGTCCCTAGAGTTTGACCAAACAATCCCCTAGAGGTAGGGGTGGGGGTGTCAGTTAAACTACACATTGCTTTAAATAAATAGGGAGGCCACATTATTTTAAATCTTGCATGTACATGTAAATAAATCATTTAATTTGTTCCGATAAACGTTATCTATAATTAATATATTAGACATTAATTAAGTGCCACATTTAACAGATAATTCAATTTCAATTTAAATACCATCCCACTCACACACTGCCAAATAATAGTAAGGGTATGTTGATAGTGTGCCCATAATTATTCACATACTTAATTATTCACGTAACCGGTTAATTATGAATTCAGAAATTAGCTGTAGATTTCAATCATAAATATTTGCATGGAAAAATACAGGTGATTGAGTGAAATATTGTTACAAACATGACAATGAAAGTGTGATAATGTGACTAAAAAAAACATCTAATGGTTTAGAATTCAATTCATTTCAGTTCTAATGTTATTTGTTCCAAACTCATCTGCTTAAAAAAATTATGCACTTAACCTAGCATGCCTGAGGATATGTAAGTGAGGCCTGCAGGGGAACTGTGGATGCTTGAATATTTTGAACAATTAATAGGAAAAAGTTACAAGTCTGGACAAAATTAATAAAATAGAATACCTATTCAAATATCATAATTATGCAATAGTGACTGATTATACATGTATGATTATGAAAATCTTCATGCAAATTATTCTTCATATTATATACCAAACTTGATTCATATCTTATAACAGAGGATGGATATGACAAAATAATAACGTCAGTTTAACAAGTGAATATTAAAATGACAGTTAAAATATATCTGACTAATAATCTTTAAGTGAAAGATAATGAATCTGACACCATTCTACAAGCCATTGCCATGACAACTGTGCAGTGAAGGAAGTGATGTGGTATCTTAGCAACTGCAATGATGCAAATCTCTCTGCTTAGCCAGGTGATACAATGTCTGTCGTAATACATCTTATCTAATATATTACCAGTATAATGGACAAGAAAATTGACAAGATGTTCATGTATGGCTCAACGATGATTGTTAAATGTTCATTATATTCAGTGGCATTGTTCATTTCGGTAAAAAAATTGATTATATTTGACTAGATTTTGTAATTCTATGTAGAAAGAATATGTGACAGACTTTACTACAAATATACAATATAATAAACCACTGAGCACAATTCTTTATGGGGACAGTCATTTACATATCAATACTATTATAAGAATATGCTCATAATCTCAAATTCTATGTATCTGTCTGAATCTGGTCATTTTTGCAGCTAATAAAGTGAACAGGCAAAAATAAGAAAATACAAAACTCAAATATTAGGAGAATTAAGTTAACACTAAAGGAATTATTTGTATCCAAAATTATAGTATTATGTAGTATTTGTAAATATTGTAATATACGCGGTAGATATATTACCGTCATAGTTTCACATTTGTCTGTGATTGTTGTCATGCCGATGAAAGTAACCCTTATCACACAAAGCTGCCAATTACTTCAGCTACCAATATAAAGTTACCCTTAGGCTTATTCAGCTTTTCTTCAAGAGTATCTAATCACGACTGAATGAGGTGCGTAGGCAAGACAGGATATCACAAGTTGCCACATGTCTGTACACTTAGTTGCTATGTTAGACTGCAGGTATTTTCAATATTGCAGTTGTGTTACCAATCATTAGCTTTAGGTGATGTTTCAATGACCCAAGAAATCGAGCTGCTCACAACAAATCGCATCACTAGCCTAGTTCTGTTCTGTTTAATCTTTTAATGTTTTGTTTTTTTAATCTGGTTGATATTAAATCTTTATTCCAACCTGGATGTATAATATTTATTTCAATCTGCAGTTTTATCCAAATGTAGATGCTCACAATCCCCTGTCTGTATGTATCCAAACTAATTAGCATGAAATCCACATATACAAACGGTATAAAAGAAAATGTCTCATTTTTGTCTATGTTGTTACAAAAACTCAAGCAATTTTCATCCAATCATCTTCAAACTTTGGTATCATATTAATAAGTAGGGTGTCGTGTCCAAGTTCATTTGTGGCATGTCTCACTTATTTGTAGATATTGACAATCAACAGTGACAATGAAACGTAAATTGTCTTATACTTGTGATTGCAATAAGTAAAAAAAAAAAGATTATCTGACTGGATAACCAGACATCAGTAATATACATGTACACTTTAAGATCTGTTAATATGCTTTTTCATTATCAGTATACATGTATATCACTTTCCTTGCCAAAAATTAACAAGAATTTTTTTTTTTAAATTGTTGCCTGTATTCCCCCATGAAATTATGCTTACATATATTGCTGTAATATATAGAAAGGTTTATGTTAAGAAACTTTTAGATCAGTATATGCACATGAACAAGCAGCTTCACGGCTGAGACAGCTCCACTGTTAGCACTGCACATTTCATTTAAAAAATTGGGGATATCATCGTGAAATGAAAAGAATTCTTAGAGAGATCTACCTGAGGTATCTATATGTATTGTATCAAAGCAAACGAACTTGCTGTTTTCAACAAGAAGTGGACAATATCACTTTTTACCAAAAATGAGAAAAGTATTCTCGTAAATTAGAGAATTAAAGATATCATCACAAAATATACAAATCTACACCAAAGATCAAAGCAAACAAGCTTGTAATTTTCAAGAAGTTGGAAAAGTAAAAAGTAGGCGCAGACGACGGTGGACAATCACTCACATATGATAAGCTCCACTCAGATAATCATCAACAATCAGTGTTATAAACTGAGCCTAATTTGCAACCATCCTGATTTTTTTTCAATATCTGGCAAAGTTGTAATAATTACACTATGTTCTTTCAAGGTACAAAACCTACACACATCAACACAATTGTAGCATTTTAATGATAATTTTGTAATTGAATACTTACCCTCCGAGGTGATGTGGTTTCCTGACTTTTCCCCTCCACAGGTTCTTTTAAAAATAATGCATGTGGGGGGGCATCATGTCCATCAATCTCGTCCTTGTTTTTATTATCACCCGTGAAAAGTTGAAAAATGTTTTTTCGTTTAGGTTTTGCCTTAGTACTGGATGTGTCTTTACTGGTCTTGGCACAATCTTCGTTTGATTTGCATGGGTATCCCCCTGATACAGTACCTGTTGGAGTCAATGAGTTCCAACTACGACTAATGTGAAATAATGGACTACCTGGAGCTGACGCTGTGGTTAACTGCTCCAAGCTATTCTGTGTAGACTCTGATTTAGAACAGTCCTCACATGAGGGGGATTTTTTATATAATTCCACTGCTAGTTTGCTTCTGTTTTTACTACTATTCATCATGATGCCTGTGTCGTCGGATAATTCCTCTGTGATTACAGCATTTCTATTAAGTTGACTGTCATCATTGTCAAATGAAGTTATTTTGATTTCTGGACTGCTAACTTTGCGACTCAACAGCGAGGCAGTCTTAGCTGTAGATGGCAAGTCAGGACTGCTGATTTTTCGTCTTCCCAAGAACGGTCGAGATATCCCCTTCTTGGTTTCTTTTCTGTCTCCTATATGAATCTCCTAAATATTAATAAAATAACAAATATTAACACTTATTATATGTAAGAAACCATTAAAGATGTTACATGAGTATCATTCATGGTCAGACAGAGATACAATGTTTCATATACCTTCACTTTTACTAGACCCTTTTCATGAATATAGCGCCCTCACTGTTTCCTCTGGGAGATTGAGGCCTTTCAGGTGAACTCAAAAAGAGGCTCCTGGGGAAGACCTGCTTTTACGTCACATCTGTAATACTCACATATGTATGTAGTCATCTATACACTTCTGAGTATTGCACATAATATGAGAGAGGTGTCTATAGTTTAAATATGCCATATTTGAATGATCCAGTAGACAATAAATGCCACTGTTCATTTACATTCGCTTCTGTTGGAGATGACCATTTTAAATATCAAATATAGTACACACACACATACATACATATAGAACTGAACAGCTGCTTTATTTGCCCTGGGACAGGTAACAATGTCAATTTTTAATACATTTCGTTGTAGACATCAACAAGTACCCCGTAAGACATTTATATCATAATTTTTACACAATGTTGCCAAACAAAATTTGAGAGACATTGAGATATATATCCTTGACATACAAAATAATCACCAAATTTCTTAAAACCGAAAATTATTGCAATATTCTCGGAACTACCATTGAATTTTTATTTAATTTGTTTTTCATTTGTGTAACATAAAATGTCATATTTGCAAAAATAATCATTATTGTAATATTTTATCTTAAGCCATTTTAAAAAGTAGAGAATGACAAATGTATGTTGGTAATAGATACTATATACATTGAGTAAATATGTTCACTTTATGAACTATATATCTGTACATAAAGGAAATGCAAATACCAATGGGTAAATATCAGACAAGGAAATAAAATAATATACTTGAATGCTCCTACAGGACAAAGTACAATCTTACTACACTCCCATTAGGAGAGGAACTCAGAGATTTACTGTCAAACACTTTATTTTCGCTGAAGGGATGATTCAGTGAAGATAAAATCCAGTGAATATACCTTTTTTTCCCATATTTCACATTCACTCATCAAAAAAATCAATAAACTCCATATAAAGAATCCAAAAAGTTGAATAATTAATTCCAGCTAAAATAATGTATTTTACAGTAGTAAAACATGGGGATTACATATTGCAGTAACTGCAGAAATGGACAATACTTAAATTTGATGTTAGCCAGTTGGTTCAAGCCAATATGGTGGTAGCCAGTTGGTTCAAGCCAATATGGTGGTAGCCAGTTGGTTCAAGCCAATATGGTGGTAGCCAGTTGGTTCAAGCCAATATGGTGGTAGCCAGTTGGTTCAAGCCAATATGGTGATAGCCAATTGGTTCAAGCCAATATGGTGGTAGCCAGTTGGTTTAAGCCAATATGGTGGTGACCAGTTGGTTCAAGCCAATATAGTGGTAGCCAGTTGGTTCAAGCCAATATGGTGGTAGCCAGTTGGTTCAAGCCAATATGGTGATAGCCAATTGGTTCAAGCCAATATGGTGGTAGCCAGTTGGTTCAAGCCAATATGGTGGTGACCAGTTGGTTCAAGCCAATATGGTGGTAGCCAGTTGGTTCAAGCCAATATGGTGGTAGTCAATTGGTTCAAGCCAATATGGTGGTGACCAGTTGTTTCAAGCCAATATGGTGGTAGCCAATTGGTTCAAGCCAATATGATGGTAGCCAGTTCGTTCAAGCCAATATGGTGGTAGCCAATAGGTTCAAGCCAATATGGTGGTAGCCAATTGGTTCAAGCCAATATGGTGGTAGCCAATTGGTTCAAGCCAATATGGTGGTAGCCAATTGGTTCAAGCCAATATGGTGGTGACCAGTTGTTTCAAGCCAATATGGTGGTAGCCAGTTGGTTCAAGCCAATATGGTGGTAGCCAACTGGTTCAAGCCAATATGGTGGTGACCAGTTGTTTCAAGCCAATATGGTGGTAGCCAGTTGGTTCAAGCCAATATGGTGGTGACCAGTTGGTTAAAGCCAATATGGTGGTAGCCAGTTGGTTCAAGCCAATATGGTGGTAGCCAATTGGTTCAAGCCAATATGGTGGTGACCAGTTGTTTCAAGCCAATATGGTGGAAACCAGTTGGTTCAAGCCAATATGGTGGTAGCCAGTTGGTTCAAGCCAATATGGTGGCAACCAGTTGGTTCAAGACAATATGGTGGCAACCAGTTGGTTCAAGCCAATATGGTGGCAACCAGTTGGTTCAAGACAATATGGTGGCAACCAGTTGGTTCGAGCCAATATGGTGGCAACCAGTTGGTTCGAGCCAATATGGTGGCAACCAGTTGGTTCAAGCCAATATGGTGGCAACCAGTTGGTTCAAGCCAATATGGTGGCAGCCAGTTGGTTAAAGCCAATATGGTGGCAGCCAGTTACAATATTAAACAATGAAAATAAAAAAAATAAAAAAATAGAAATCTGACTTTTGTAAAGCAGCTACATGTACAGTGAGTGAAAAATACAATATAAATTGTTCTACATAGCTAACTGATTAGATCAGCCAATAGTGTCAATTTGAGACTATTAATGGTTGCATCAAATCAGAAAACACTGTCTAAACAGGTAAGCAAAAAAACATAAAGCTTTTGAAACAAGAAAATATAATGGTGAAGATATGCCAAGGTATTAAACAGATTGAGTACAGGCTAGAATTCTATTTGAATTGAATTATTGATTCAACCTATAGTGTTGAATTTGTTTAAAACATATTAACAAGATTGGTTTGAGCTAGATTCAGCCTTACCAAGACTGTCATGACGTCATTTATGTGATGTAGTGAGTTATTTTTGCACAAAACAATGAATGTTAAATTGAATTGTTTACTTGACTTGATCGCTGAGGTATATGAGATGTTGACAGAGGGGAGTTTCAAACAAGAAGGATCGCATTGAATGTGTTCTTTCAAATTACATACATATACACAGTAAAAATACAAAAAACAAACCTGAATGATGATAGATAATTCAAAAAAAATCCATATATGTATCATGGAAGCGATTATCATGAACAGTTCAGTGATGAACACTTTTTATATCACTGGGTTATATACTTCAATATGGAAGACATATTTTTTATTTGAAGTCTAGAAAAATGAATACATTGCATGAGAGTGTAACCTACCATATTATTGAAATAAAATACTTGCTTTTTCAATTTATTGTTTTATTGAACAATAAACTGCACAGTTGGTTATTAAAAAAATAAAATAAAAGCAGTTACATGTGAATCATGTTATGTAGTTCTGTGTAATTGTTCTTTTTTTTTTATCACAACAGGAAACATTTCAGCCATTCAATTGGAAATAAAACAGAAAACAAAAGGTAAAGCATTTTCCAATCCAATAACATAATAAGTATTTCAATGCGATATAGATGAAAATCAATACTGCACAGCGGCTCACTTTACTAGCTGTGTTTTGTTCTGCTGATAGATAGATATCCAAGGTATCATTTGTATCCATAACTGGTACTGCCATTACATTTAATGGGATAGCATGTAGTTATGTAATATTTATTAAAGACCAATTTTTCATGTTTTGGAGAGTACTGACAATTACCTTGGTCTGCTACCACATGTGTGTTGTGATTATATATTAAACTATATATATGTAATTAAATATAAACTTACAATAGATTTTGCAAACTATGTGTATTCCATTTGTAATGTTGTTGATAGTTGTATTTAGTGATTGCTGTATAACTTTGATATGGGGTTGTGTCAATAAATTAAATTTATATAATTATATCATTAATGTGATATGTGACTTTGAATTACACTGGCTGCTGAACATTTTCAAGTCTAATTTGCATATACAAAAAAATATACAACTACATGTATATGTACTGGTATGACGATTTTCAACGGTAATGTTATTTTTCTTTCATGTTTGAAAAAAGTTGATATTCTTCCTCATATTCAACACTTGGTGTGATGATGAATAAAGCAAAGTTTTAACCAGACATATGTGTATATTGATACACAGTGAATGTTAATCACTGATAAGGAAAACCCATTAGCTAATAAACTGTACAGCTATTTAAATGTCCACATACCCAGAACTTCAGTATAAATGGGAGTTGAATTCCTGCAATTACATTTGACAATCATCGCAGATGTGTACCACTTTGGAACCAGTAACATCTCCTGAGAATCCAATACCAACGATAGCCTTACATAGGCTCAGATGTGCCCATACACATATTAAAGTACTCGGTAGTAGGACTATATAAAAGTACTCCCAAGATTCACTAGTCTAAGAGTGGTCTTTTCTAGGGTCTACCTACATGTTGGAGCTACCTGTGTCTGTTGTGCTATACTGTGAAACTACTTGCATTTGTGTTGTGTGATCAAAGAAATCCACTGTACATGTATTATACTGCTTTGCTAAATGGTTACACATAGAAAACCTTGTCAGATTTATTAAGACATGCTCACATCTCACCTCTACTTTGGTCACACTTTTTTGTCATTTAATTTATAAGTTATTATCGTTTATTTAATATGCTATTTATGAGTTAATTTTTAATTAAACCGTATTTATTATTTGAAAGTATATATCTTTGTGTTGCGTGAATCATTCTGCTGTTAGTCAATTCTCATTAATGATTCCATCCATGCAGCTTCATCCCAGTAATATTTCAAGTTTTGTAGTCTTAGACCTCTGCCACTACACATGGTTATTATTCCAATCCAAATAAATTTGACCATAGCTGAGCTATCAACACAGGTGTTTTAAGAGAGTGGATTTAAATGTGCACTGAGGTCATAAATATCTACATGCAATATAATACAGTCCTTTCATAATCATTGCAGTGTCATAGCTACTACATTAATTTGTATTCTATATATTGGTGGATTATGTTGTTATGAATTACACAGCAATATGTGTAAATACATGTGTTAGAAGAAGTTCTTTTTGTAGCATGTCTGGATAAGAATATGAACTAGAAATGGCAATATATTCTGTAAACATATA